GAAAGAATTCAAAGAAACCACATTTTCTGTTATATTTAAACTTAGAGCGACTAATACCTTTTATTTTACCAATACTGTATTCTAGCAATTGTGAGACAGTTCCAGGCATTGAAGCAGGTGCCTCTATGAAAAGTAATGTCTCTGCCTAGTCAATGAGTTATTTTATGCAGTGAAGTTATTTCTTTAGGCAGCAGTAAGAAAAAGGTTGACTTTTAGAAAATTTTTTTCTTTGACTTAAGAAAGTTTGTAGTTGTCAGGCACAAATATCACAGGCACTGGGTGTTAAGCAGCTACATTTCTTAGAAGGCGTTTCTGGGCCACTGGCCCCTTATCCCAACTCCTTCCAAAAGGTTTAGCCCAAGCACTTGCTTAGCCAAATAGAGAGTTCAATAGATTTTTCACTCTTGGGAAACTAAGTTTAGAAGCATTAAGTAACTTAACTAAGTACACATAGCTAATAATGCTAGAACAAAGATCCAAACTCAGGTCTAATTCCAAAGGCAATGTTGTTCCTATCACCTTTGTGACAGATTTGTCCAGGTTGATCAGGAAATGGCAGAGCTAGAATCCAAACTCAGGCCTTCTAAAGTCAGCACAATCTCTAATAAAGTGTGGAAGATGTAGATACCAAAGAGGGCTTTTGGGCTCTTACAAAAAAATACTTTAAGCTACCTTATTATGCATGGAAGCCTTCCCTTGGCCTCCCAGGTGGAATGGAAGAACATGAGAAATACCCCTGAATGTGGCCAAACATCACTGGAAGAAAAACACTACTTGTAAACGTTACTTGCATGCATAGGACCAATATACTTCACAACCACTGCAATTATCAATTCCTATGTGACATGACATCCAGATGCACAAAACTGGCTCTTCTGAGCTTCTCTCACAGAATGTTCCAATAGGTCTGGGAGCAAAAGCATGCAAAACAATGCTTATATATGTAGAGAGAGAGATAATTTTTAACTTGCACAAATCATTCCCTTCACAATTTTATTTCTTCATTTTCAAAAATACTTTTTGTTATAGAAAATTTAAACCATATACATAAGTGGCCAAGCATGGTGGCTCACACCTGTAATCCTAGCACTTTGGGAGGCCGAGGCACAAGGAATACTTGGGGCCAGAAGTTTGAGACGAGCCTGAGCAAGAGCAAGAGCCCATCTCT